CGCGCGTAAAGGGGCTGCCTGGTGCCGGGTCTGGTCGATTTGCGGTCACACGCCGCCTCGCTCTCCGGACTGGGTTCTGCGCCTCCTCCGCTGGCCACCGTCACCCGGGAAACCAGTCGCGACCTCCAGCAGACCCGAAGCTGGTTTCATGGCAGCCGCGAAGAAAGCAGTTTTGGGGCCGTTGGTTGGGGCAGTGGACCAGGGCACCAGCTCGACGCGCTTTTTGGTGAGCCCCGGGGTGACATTTAAGGAGCTGAGCCGGCGCGGGAGCCCCGGGATGCCGGCATTGGTTATAGCGTCCCCATCCCGGGGCTCCTGGCCTCTTGGCAAGGGAAGGAGGCCAAGGCCCCCTAAGCAGGACCTGCCACGCTGTAGCTGTCCCACGCGGACTTGGGGGACCTCGGCCTCTCGAGACCCTGGTGGCCGAACTGAGCAGCCCCGGCCTCGGTGGTGGAGCCGGGTCACGTCCTAATGGGGGAACTCCTCCAAAGGGATCTAGGAATTGCTGAGCATCCGTGCGGAGCTGCCCGCTTGCAGCCAGGGACAGGTGGTCACATGGACCGCTGCTGCGGTCTTCCCCGGAGCATTTGGCCTGTGGGGCGCAGGACGTCCTTGGATGGGGGGAAAGCTGTGTCACGGCTGTGATAGCCTAACACAACGTCCTTTGGAGCAGTAGAATAAATATAGTATTAGCGATGATGCGTTGTCATCCTCTCCCACAGAAATTGTAGAAGGTACAATGCTCCGGGGGTGGGGTGGGGGGCGCAGAACATATTCGGAAAAATACAGTACTCTGTCTTTACCAATCGGAGACTCGCAAATTTCAGTTCTGATACTTTGCCTGTTACAACCACTTCATGCTTCACAGCATAAAGTGACAGGGAAATTCTGTTTCTCTTTTTATTTACCGTAACAGAGTGCTATTCAAGTGACTATTCCGCTAGGAATCTTGCTCTTAAAGTGATCTGTACTGAGTTCAGTAAGATAATTTTAAAATAATTTAAATAAATGGTTGTTGGTTAAGAGCCCATGAATGCTTCAATGGATATTTGACTAACCTGGAAAGTTGATGTAAATATTTAATGATTATTTAGCTCCATCTTCACTACTTTACCTCAAATCATTTTTCATGCACCTTTTTTAGTATACTATACATTATACATACAGTGTATATGTTGTTCCAAACTTCTGTTTAGCTGACCACTGACTAAAACCTTCACATGTGCCTTCATTTTGATACTCCTCTCTTGTCTACACTGGAAAGCTTTCAGTGCAATTTTAGTTTGAATCTTATTTCATGACTTACCCTAGTTTGTGCTGCCAAGACATAGTTCTACAGTCTCTTACATTGTTTATCTTTTGATCACCCAGGGCAGGTTTCACTTTGTCTTATTTTCATAAATGTTTATATAGTAACCCTGAATCATAAGTAAGAAAGTCTGCCCAACTGGACTTGATTAATATATAAAATATATAATCATCAACTGTGTATTTAATCCTTACCTGAGGATATTTTTTCCATAGATTTCCACATCCCCACCACCAGAGAGGGGAAAGAAGGGAGTGGGCGGGGGAGAGAAAGAGAGAGAGAGAGAGGAGAGAAACATCAATGTGAGAGAGACATTCATTGGTTGCCTCCTGCATGTGCCCCTGGGGGACAAACCTGCAACCAAGGTGTGCCCTTTGGCTAGAACTGAACCCTAACCTTTTGGTCTGCGTGCCAACGCTCTAACCACTGAGAAAACTGTCCAGGGCCATCATTGTGTATTTAAAATGAAGAAAGACCATTAAGACACACATACTGAGTCATTTGTGGGTTGAGTTTTGAAGCCATACTCAAGGACTGCCCACACAAAATGCCTGCAGGGGCCAGGCAGGTAGAGGTTGGAGGGCCGACTGGAGAGAGCAGACCCAGGCCAAGGGGTTAGAGTCTATAGTTGCCAAACAGGAACCCAAGCCCAGTGTCGCCAGGTCTTCAGACTCTCTAAGAAAAGGTGGTCATCTCGAGTTTTCAGTGTAATCTTCCTATGGAATGTTGGCAACTAGTTCATAAAGCACCGTGGGGGCTAAATAAACATGGGTGATTGCTTTCAAAGGCCATTGCCTTCCATGAATGCTTTTTAGAAGCCAGCCTGACTATGCTTATCTTCCTTTGGACTCTTCGCTCTTGCTTTCCCTGTAGCCCAGCGATCTTTATCTACTGCAGTTTGTTCCTGGTCCCTCGGATTCTGTTGCCCAAGAGACATCTTTCTGCACTGGTGGGGAAGGAATACGTCAACTTCATATTCTCACAATCATGTCAGTATGTGACATGAACAACATGAGCCTTCGAAAGCCAGTTTCTGTTTATTGGGCTCTGTGTGGCATGATCTCAATTAACAAGCTAAGGTGCAAATTCAGGAGATACCCATCCTGCTTATAGGATGATGTGTGAAAGTGGACCAATCATGTTTTATGATTCCTGAGAAACAACTAGGAAAGAATTCTTCAGAGGTAGATAGAGGACTTAGAGATCCTGTGAAAAGTCAAAGACAGGGATGGTTATAAGGAAAGAGCTTGTTAAACCACTCCCTGCCAAATGCAGATAATAGATTTGCTGAATAAGTGCTTCAATCACAAGGTGATTCCCAGGAGTTCCAGTCATACTGTTCCATGTTGTAATTATGACTCAAAAATGATTGCTTAGTTTCTCACAAAGATTTCAGTGGATAAGAACTGTCATAAGGAAGCTTATAAAGTTAAAGGTATTTAAATAATTTCCCGGACATTTTTCATTCAATTTGCATATCCAGTTCAACTTTCACAAGACCAATAACCTCCCAAGCTTTCTTCTCCCTCTTTCCCTGCTAGTGATGTTAACTCATGGTCTTTCATGCCATGGAAATGTCTCCTCCCCCATTTCCCATACCTTCTTAAAATTCTACTCTGCCTCCAAATTGTGGCTCAACTGCCTGCCATCCCTTAGATCAGTGGTTCTCAACCTGTGGGTCACGACCCCTTTGGGGGTCGAATGACCCTTTCACAGGGGTCGCCTAAGACCATCGGAAAACACATATATAATTACATATTGTTTTTGTGATTAATCACTATGCTTTAATTATGTTCAATTTGTAACAATGAAAATACATCCTGCATATCAGATGTTTACATTACAATTCATAACAGTAGCAAAATTACAGTTATGAAGTAGCAATGAAAATAATTTTATAGTTGGGGGTCACCACAACATGAGGAACTGTATTAAAGGGTCGCGGCATTAGGAAGGTTGAGAACCACTGGTCTAGAGGGAACACTGTATACAGATTAACCTTTAATAGGTCAGCTGAATTTTAATTCTGGTTATCGTTTTTACCTAGTCAAAAAACTCTTTAAACTTCCTAACTTCGGTATGTTTGATTACTGAATTTCTTTTATTTTAGTAGTAGATCTGCAATTTTAAAATATATTCTTTTCTTCCTCCAGTTATCAAAAGAATTACTCTTGGCAACCTATGAATGAATGTGCTTTGTACTAAAGGAAAAATTTCCATCTTGTCCCATAGGAAAGCGAACTGCATTGGCACATGGTTACTCAGATTGCCGAATAACAACTTCTTGGAAAGATAATTACTGTAACAGGTTTTAAGGAGGGGCCATTTCTTTATAAGACAAAAGTTGCAGCTTAAACAGTCAACTTCTCTCATTGGGTAACCTTGTTTTCCCCCCATTAAGTTGAATGTTAAAGAAAAAACAAAGGCTTAGAATGTGTTGTGATTTGAAATGTGTCCGGTACTTTATAGATGACTTTTCCAGCATTATCTCATTTAATCTTTATAACAACTGTGATGCTGGTAGTATTAGTAAGCTCCTTCCCACAGGTAATTAGACCGAGCTGGGGATGGTGCCCAAGGTTGCAGAGTAACTGGTGGAACTAGGATTCAAGTCCAGGTCTGTAGTACTCAGAAGCCTGTCCTCCTAACTCCTGCCTTGGCTCCCTGGCTGCCTGGAGTATGTTGAAGGGAAGATGGGGGGTTGGAAAAGGCCACATACCCACCTGTCACTCAAGTGTCAGTTCTGATTATGATCATAAATGAATCTTCACCAAAAAAATATACTTAGAGCTTAGTTTTGCAATATCTCAAAACTTTTGCCTTTGAGTAAGTACTCCTGATTTGACCATCTTGTGACTCCGTGGGTCCTGGGCTGGGCTCGGGTGTAGTCACTGTGGATAATGGTTGCGTAACCATTTCGTTCTAATAGCCAGCATCTGCGAAGAATGACTAGAATTGTAGTTCCATGCTTGTTTTGGCAGGCAACACTGCCCTGGCCCCAGTTGTCTCATTATACTTAGAGACCTCATAAGGCTCAAGGATGTATTTCCGCCTTCTTTCTTTCATTTATTTATTCAATACATATTTATTAAGCACCCGTTAGGGGCCAGAGACTAATGAACAGTAAATTTGGTAAAAAACTAATTTGATTCACAGCTGGAATGAGGCCACTCTTGTGATAACTAGAGCAGTGATTCTTTTGTGGGATTTTTCCCCCCCCACTAAGTTGGTTTGCTTTCTTGCCCATCACATTATACAAATGGCAAAAAACATGTTCTCACCAGAGAGCTGCCACCCTCTTTTGTCCTCTTGTCTCTCACAAACAGAAGTGTCAGGAGCTTTCAATTTTGAGCTCCTTCAGGGACAGAATGGTGTCTTTTATTCCTCTCCAAAGCCTAATACAGCATCTGGCATGTGGTCGGTGCTCATCACGTGAACAGACCTCAGCAGAGGGTCCTACAGGGCTCCATGGTGTTGATTAGAACTGGTTTGGAAGACGAGGAAGGAAAACCTTGTGGGGGTCTTGGAAAGAGGGAAATTTGGCAACTGTAGATGTATTAGATGTCTGTATAAGCTATTTGATACAATTTCATTTTGAAGAAAAATACAGTGCTGTTTGCTATGTTCTGTGGGCTTGTTGGAATATGCCATTATGCCTTTTGTGAAATTTGCAATGTAACATATTTTTATCTTCAGTCATTCACATTTATGTAGTAGAGTGTCCTAGAGAGGAACTTTACATTCCTGAGAATTGTCTTATCACGTAGTAGAGCTGAGTGTGGCATAAAAGCGTAGGCTGATGGGGAAATGAATGTGCATGTTTATGATGGGAATGGCTGACATTTTACAGTGAGCGAGGTGGGCCTAAAGGACAGTTATTGGATAAGGACAGCATTTTGTGTCTCCACTACTCTTCT